CAGATGTTGCAGAATTCATATACCATACTTTCCATAAGAGCCATAAGCATGGTCTGGAATAGCACTGCTGAATCTAATAGAACAACATTTCCACAGAGAAACACAAATATTCATGCTGAGAAGGATAAATAAAGACTAAAAACAGCCTCCTGTCAGTTCGGGTCATGTTTTACGTGCATATGAGACAGGAAAAATAACGCTGGTTTTCATAGCCTTTGAGATTTCAGACTTACAGTAAGGGATTTTGATTCTGAAGTGTGTTTCTGTCAGTTCTTTTTGCATTCTTTAAAAAAAGGATTTTATTTATTTACTTGCCAGAGAGAGAGAAGGAACACAAGCAGGGGGAGTGGGAGAGGGAGAAGCAGGCTCCCCATGGAGCAGGGAGCCCGATGTGGGACTGGATCCCAGGACCCTGGGATCATGACCTGAGCCCAAGGCAGACAGACGCTTAACCGACTGAGCCACCCGGGCGCCCAGATACTTTGCATTTTTTTTTTAAAAGATTTTATTTATTTATTTGACACACAGAGAGAGAGAGAGACACAGCGAGAGAGGGAACACAAGCAGGGGGAGTGGGAGAGGGAGAAGCAGGCTTCCCGCTGAGCAGGGAGCCCGACGCGGGGCTCAATCCCAGGACCCCGGGATCATGACCTGAGCCAAAGGCAGACGCTTAACGACTGAGCCACCCAGGCACCCCACTTTGCATTTTATATGTGTTTTTCCCCGCTATTTTTGGTAGATTTCCTTTTTATTGAAGTATAACATACAAAGAGGAGAGAACACCAGTCATAAATGACAGCAATTTGATGACATTTCACAAAGTGAACACATGCGTGTAACCACCACCGAGATCAAGATATACGACATTACTGGTGCCCCAGAAGCCTAAACTGTGTCCTTCTCTAATGATTACACCTGACAGTTAACCACTCTTCTGACCTATGTCACCCTAAGGGTTTTTGGGGCTGTTTTTAAACTCTCTACAAATAGAATTATCAGTCATGCGCCTTTTTATGCCTGCTGCCTTTTGCTCAATGTTCTGATATTGAGACCTGCCCATGTTGTTGCACGCAGGGGTATTTGCCTGTTTCATGTCTGTATGGTATTCTCTACTATGAGTATACCACACTGTATTCACTCAGCTGTTGATAGATGTTCGGATTGTTTCCAGTTCCTGACTATCATCGATAATGATGCCGTGAACGTTTTTATTCATGTGTTTTGGAGAACATGTTTGCACTTCTGTTTGATTATATACATGGATTGTGTGGTAGCCAGAATTCCATGATGATGCCCAGTGACCCTTGTCTTTGCACAATCTCCTCCCATTGGGTGTGGATGGACCCTGTGGACATGATGAGATAGCACTCCCATGATGATGTGAAATTATATAGCAAAAAGGATTTTGCAGATGTAATTAAGGCCACAGAGCAGTTGACCTTAAGCTAGGGAGATTGTTCGGGGTGGGCCAGACCTAATCAGGGGAACACTTGCAAGGGCCTAGGCCCCCTTCCGAAAGAGAGATTTGAGGCACGAGAGAGCGTGTTCAGGGGGCCACATGGTGAGGAACTGAAGGCAGCCTCTAGGAGAGGAGTGCTGTCCCTGGCTGACAGCCAGTGAGAGAAAGGGGCCTCAGTCCTCCAGCAGCCTGGAACTGAATTCGGCCAACAACATGGATGTGTTTGGAAGGGACTCTTCCCGAAAGCCTCCAGAAAGGGGCACAGCAAGTCCACTGCCCTCTCACCCTGTGAGATCCGGAGCAGGGAAGCCAGTCACACTGGGCACAGACTTCTGACCTGCACAACTGTGAGCTAATAAATGGGGATTGTTTTAGGCTGTCAGGAGCGTGGTCATTTATTCCACACCAATAGGAAGCTAATACAGATTTTGGTACCTGAATGTGGGGTGCCGCCACTGCAAACAGCTAAAGATGTAGGCCTGGCTTTGGCACTGGGTAGTGGGCGAGGGCTGGAGGAAATTTGAGGTGCACGCTAGAGAAAGCCTAAGTGGCCTTAGGAAAAGCCCTGATTGCCTCGGGCAGACTGTTAGTAGAAATCTGAACTTTAAGGACATCGCTGGTGAGGGCTCAGAAGGAAGCAAGGGACACGTTATGGAAACTGGAAGAAGGGGGATGCCTGCTACGTAGTGGCAGAAAGTTTAACAAGATTGTTGCCTGCGGTTATGTGGAAAGAAGAAAATATAAATGACAAACTTGGCTATATGGCTAAGGGAGAGGTTGGAGGTAGCGGAATTTGGATAGCATAATAGAAAAACCTAGATTGCCTTGAGCAGAGTGTTAGTGCCGATCTGGAATTTAAAAACCAAGGATTATTCTAGGCTTTGAAACTTTATCAAAGAATTCTGGCTGTTGTTCTCCCAGCTGGATTTCCAAACTGCTTTGGGACTCTAACTCCTTTCTGCCTTCCTGTCCCCGCCCCTCTTTTCAAACCGGAGTGTTCTAGCTGTTATCTCATGCCCATTGTGTGTTGTGTGTTGGGGAAGATAGCTTGTCTGTCACTTTAGTGTCACCAGTCCTCAGCTGGAGAGGGATTGTGCCCCAGGAGTTGTACTGCATGGATTATACCCAGGAAACCTCACCCATGCCTGATTTGGATGACTAGGATGATGAGATTCTGGACTTTGAGCTGTGCAGTTTTGATGAGCTCTTGGACTTGAGCTGTTGCCATAATACCATGAGAAATTTGGGAGACTGTGGGATGGAGTGAATGAACTTTGTATGTGGGACAGACTGGATCGCTGGATCACTGGGGGCCAGAGGGCATACTGCGGTAGGCAAAACTCTAGGAGGACTCCAAGTGACCCTCAACCTTGTACGGTCCCCTCCGGTTCAGTGTAAGAGGAGCCCATGAATATGGTCAGATATCACTCCTGTGATGATTATGTTACATTACGTGGGAAAAGAGATTTTGCAGCTGTATTAAGGTCCCAAGTTAGTAGACCTTCAAATAAGGAGGTCATCCTGGGTGGGCCAGCCTTAATCAGGTGAGCCCTTAAAAGGGGGGGCCCCTCCTGAGAGACTCAAGCATGAGAGGGTGTCTGGAGGGGTCCATGTGGCAGGGAACTGCGGGCAGCCTGTAGGAGCTGAGAGTAGGACTGAATTCTGCCAATAACCCAAATGAGCTTGGCAGTGGACTTCTCCTCAGAGCCTCCACAAAGAAACACAGTCTGCCCAACACTTGATTTCACCCTGTGATACACTGAGCAGAGAACAAAGGCATGTCACACATGGACTTCTGACCTACAGAACTGTGAGCTAATAAACAGACATTGTTTTTAAGTAGTTGAATTTATGGTACTTTGTTATGCAGGAATAGATCATTAACACAGATGGCATTCCTGGGTTATAGAGGATGTACATGTTCAGCTTTGATAGATAGTGCCAGTTTTCCAAAGAGGTGGTACCAACTTACACTTGCACCAGCATTAGAGAGTTCCTCCATATCCTCACCTAATCTTGATATTGTTAGTTGTCTTGGCTATTCCGATAGATGTTTCGTCAGGGATTTTATTATTTTTTTTTAAGATTGTTCATCTATTTATTTATTATTTATTTACTTATTTAGAGAGCACGTGCGAAGAGGGGGGAGGGGCAGAGGGAGAGGGAGGGGAGAGAGAGAGAGTCTTAAGCAGACCCTGTGCTGAGCACGGAGCCCAGTGCTTGGGGCTCGATCTCACAACCCTGAGATCTCGACCTGAGCCAAAACCAAGAGTCCGAGGCTTAACAGACTGTGCCACCCAGGCGCCCCAGCTCACTGGGATTTTAATGTACATATCCCTGGTGACTGGGGTTGAGTAGCTTTTTGTTTGCTCATCGGTTAGTTAGTTGGATGTCCTGTTTTGTGAAGGTCCTGTTCAAATATTGTGCCAGTTTTTCATTGCATTGTCTTTTTTTTTCCTTCTTGATTTTAGGAGGTATTATATCCTGTACGTGAGATGTCCATGAAATATACATGTTGCAAAACCTTTCCCCCATTCCAAGGTTTATCTTTTCACTCTCTAAATGTGTCTTTTGATGAACGGGAGTCCTTATTTAGATGAAGTCCAAATTACCAATGTTGTTTCCCTTTCTCATTAGTGCTTTCTGTGCGCTGTTCCCACTCTCTTTGCCAATCCCAAGGTCATAAATATTTGTTCATAACGTTATTTTCAATAAGCTTTAACTTCTGGAATTAATTTTTGTGTACGGCATAAGTTAGGGGCCAAAGTTATTTTTTTCCCCAAGTGGATGGATATCCAGTTAGTCTAGCTTCACTTATTTAAAAGACCATCCTTTCCCCAGAGCACTCTAAGTGGCACAATTGTTGTAAATGTGGTGACTGTGCTTGTGCGAGTCTATTCGTGGACCCTTCTCTTTGTGTCTTTTGGCCGTTTGTCTTTTCTTGTGCTCATACCACACTATCTTAATTATGGCGTCAGAGCTGGTCTTGCTATCTGGCTGTGAAAGTCCTGAAAAGTCTTGGTTTTTGTTTTAGATGGCTTTGGCTGTTCTTGGATCTTTGTTACCCGTATATAATTTAGAAGCAGCTTGACAATTCCCGTTTTCAAAAGAAAAAAAAAAACAAACTGCTGGGAATTTGATTGGGAATGCATTGAATCCATAGATCAGTTTCACAAGAATTCTCTCTTCCATTCACTTTCATACTGTTGTCTTCCAATACATAAACATGACATATGTCTGATTTATGTAGGCTGTCTTTAATTTCTCTCGGAAGTGCTATCTGTGGGCAGAGGTCTTGGGACTCCTTTGTTAGATTTGTTCCTAGGTGTTTGTTCTCTTCTGATGCTGTAATAGATGGCATTTAAAATTTTTTTCTCCTTATAATTCTAATGCCAGTATATAGAAATCCAATTGTATTTTGTAAAATTGACCATGTATCCAGCAACCATGCTAAATCATTTATTAATTATAATATCAGATACATATACTTTTTGAGATTTTTAATGTAAACCATCTGTTGTGTCTCTTTTATTTCTTTAAGCGCTGAGAAAACTTATCCCAAAGACTCCAAGCAGACGTGCATCTCATTGATATGGGGGAGTATCGACGGGAGAATGCCCATTCCTAAACCAGTCACTGGAAGGGTAATGAGATTACTATGACCTGGTTAGTCAACCACACTGTCCGGTATAATCAGATACGTTGCATTGTGGGCCACGGTTTCTCTTTATTTTAACCAAACATGTAAATACTTGGAAATGAAACCTTTGATCAGAAAGGTAAAAATCAGGAGATTGATGATGATGGATTGATACTGGTGGAATGTTCCTCCCCATAAATGAGCTGAAATTACAGTTCTTAAGGTACATCATTTCTTAAGCAAAGATTAATATGGTTAATATTTGAAAACCGTTTTGTGTATTGTGAAGGAACAATTAAGATGAAGTAGTCTACTTCATACATACCCTTCTGGTGATTATAAAATACAAAGTTATCACAGAAAATTTAACACCTACACATACCAAACTTTGAACAATATTTACTGATCACTGACAGGATTGACTGTGATTTAAATTTTGTTTTAAACTTTTCCAAATTATCTAAATACCCCACCACAGGGTTTGTCAACCTGGACACTACTGACATTTGGACCAGATAATTGTTGTAAGAGGCTAGCTTGTGCATTCAGGGATTTTTTAAGCAGCATCCCTAGTTTTGATCCACTGGATGGCAGTAGCATCTCCCCTTTCCCCAAGTTGTCACAAACAAAAATGTCTCCCAACATTGTCAAGTGCCCCCTGGAGCAGGCACCATGCTGCTGGATGAGCACCATTACTCCATAATAAATGAGATTTTAATATACACCGAATTCTAGGTATATGTATAGATAGATAGATAGTAAATGAGATTTTAATATACATCGAATTCTAGGTATATGTATAGATAGATAGATAGATAGATAGATAGATAGATAGATAGATAGATAGATAGATAGATAGTAAATGAGATTTTAATATACACCGAATTCTAGGTATATGTATAGATAGATAGATAGGTAGATAGATTAGTAAATGAGATTTTAATGTACACCGAATTCTAGGTATATGTACAGATAGATAGTAAATGAGATTTTAATATATACATCGAATTCTAGGTATATGTATAGATAGTATACATATATTCAGTATATAATTTTTATTTGTGTAACATAGCCATTTTCCAATAGCATTAAAAGTTCTTCAGAAACATCCCATAAACTCTACATAAGTTTATTCTGTGGACCATCCAGTATCCTGCCAGAAATTTCAGTGGTTTCAATTTTTTTTTTTAAACAAATGACACCAAAATAATCACTTCCGATCAAATAACACTGTGGTTTAATATATGTATATTTCTGGGGCGCCTGGGTGGCTCAGATGGTTAAGCCTCTGCCTTTGGCTCAGGTCACGATCCCAGGGTCCTGGGATCGAGTCCCGCATTGAGCTCCCTGCTCTGTGGGGAGCCTGCTTCTCCCTCTGCCACTGCCTCTCTCTCTCTTTCTCTCTCTCTGACTCTCATGAATAAATAAAACATTAAAAAATATATATATATGTATATTTCTTCAGAATCAATGCCTAGAAGAGGAATTGTAACATCAAATAGATTTCATGTTTATATATGTCTTGTCAAATTTCCATCTGGCAGGGTGCTTTGAATGTAGAACCCCAACCCGGTAACATATGAGAGAGCCTGGTTTCTTACAACAGCTTAAATCATAATTAAACACGAAAAATTAGTTGCTTTCCATAATGCAAATATCTGTATTTTTCTGAATGCAAGAGTAATCTATGCTCGTTGAGAACATTTAGAATATAAAGTATGAGGCAAACAAAACTTACTCTCCCAGGGACGCCTGGGTGGCTCAGTCAGTTAAGCGTCTGCCTTCGGCTCAGGTCGTGATCCCCGGGTCCTGGGATTGAGTCTTGCATCAGGCTCCTTGCTCAGCAGGGAGTCTGCTTCTCCCTCTGTTGGCCACTCCCCCTGCTTGTGCTCTCTCTCCCTCTCTCTCTGACAAATAATAAACAAACAAAAAACCCTACTCTTGCAGATTTTTTTTTTTTTTCGGGAATTGAGAATCACTGGATTCCCACTGTGTCCCCAGTCTGTAAGTCTTCCCAATTCCAGGAAGTGGCACCACCATCCACCCAGATACTATGGCCAAAATCTAAGAGTCCTGATTGCCGTCCCTCACTCATGATCTCACAGACATTCACGTTTTCCCAGCTGAGGCCTCAGACGACATCGTAGAGCAGAGATGAGCCATCTGCCGTCTGCCCTGTCTGAATTCTAGCTCTACAGGATGCCTGAGCATGATCAAATGGTCATTGTTCCATGACACTAAGTTATGGAGCAGTAGATGAGAACACATTCTCTTCATTTAAGCACATCCTCTATTTCATCAGTATTTCACTTTCCATATTTCATTCCATTTTATTTATATTCATTGTCTATTCCACCCTTCATAACTTTGTATTCTGTATTTCATTCCAAGTTTCATTCCATTTGTTGCTATTCCATCCTGGTACTTTTAAATCTAAAGTGCAAATTTCATAGTCCATTGATTTCATGACCTTGCAAATTCTATTCCATCGGTTTCCTCCCATTTTCTTTAATATTTTACTTCACTGTATATTCCACTCCATTCTTCTTCTCATGTAACGTTACTTATATATTTTTTTTATTCCACACGCCATCAGATATTTATTTCCATCCTCCTTTCCATTCCATTTTCCCATTATATTCTATTCAATTTCCATCCTGTTCAATTTTCCATTCCATATCCTGTTTAAGTCTGTATTCCATCCCCCATTTCATTCCAATTCCCACTGCAGTTAGTCTCCACTTCATCCCATTCTGCATTCCATTTCAAATCCATTTTCCCTTCCATATTATTTAACACTCCAGATGCCATTCCATTCTACTCCGCGTTGTGTTTCGCTCCAGTTGCTCCTCCGGTCCAGTAAGCCTCCCATTCCATTCAGCTGAAATTGTCATAACGGTGACTTTCAGGAGAACATCTTGCTAATATTTTAATCAAAGAGTTACAAATGTGCATGGCCTGTGCCAAGAATTTCTTCATCTGGGAGTCTATCCATAGCAAGGACACAATTGAGGATATGAACGATTTTTAGTAAGAAGCATGTGCTTCGCAGTGATGTGTTATAGAGGGTGAAAAGTTGGTTGATATTGGAATGTTTGAAGATGTAAGCTTCTGGTATAAATGGAATATTTTGTACTTAAAAATGGCCTTGTGGAAATTTACTTCTTGACATGGAGAGAGAGTTTTCTGGACCCAAAAAAGCAGGTGACCAAACAATATCTATGGATAAGTGATCCCATTTCATAAAATAAACTATGTGTAACTTGCCTTACAGGTGTGTCAGAATTTAGGTGCTGGCTGTCTGTTTTGGGTACTGAAATGGCAGCCCTTCTGTAATAATGACTAAAAATCTGGTCTAAATATTAGACTTCAAGCCTGTGCATCACAGCATATTTGTATTAACAGAAACTAGAGAGTAGGTCACACAAATGAATGTACATTCATCAGTGGATTACTATGCAGCCCATACAAATGTTGATGCATATTTAAGGACAGTATCATCCTTAATCCCAGGCAACCCCACTCTGTGTTCAGGGGGCAAGGCAAGGAGAAGCATCCTACTGGAAAATTCTAAATCCGCCTCTGGGTGCGTGGCAGCAGTGCTGAACATCCCGAGCCCAGGCAGTGTGGGCCCCATCCCTTTTGTTGCCTTCACGCCGTTCTCCAACCCTACAGCCCACTAGAGGAGTTCTGGGACAGTCTCTTCTGGAGTCACACGTGGGCCCTGCGTCCTGACGGGATTCCAGGAGGGATGCCCAGCTCAGCGGTATCTCCTCTTGGTCAGTGTGGTATTTCTTTCAAGCCACTGCTTGAAAGTTTCACCAACAGAGTGGTGCTGACAAACTAAACTGATTTGGGGTGACTCAAACTGTTTATACAGACACCATCGCTGCCCACGCCCTCGAAACACACACACACACACACACACACACACACACACACTCTCTCTCTCTCTCTCTCTCTCTCTCTCTCTCTTAGGGGGTCCAAGTATGGATCGGAAATTCACATCGTGGCCCGGGCAGCAGCGGCCCCTAGAATGGCGAAGCACACGGTTTGGTTTGGCGCCAGACGGAGCCAGGTTGGCTCGCTCCCTTTAAGACGAGAGTCACGTGACAACCACCCGACCAATCAGAGGTGAAGATCCGACCAGGACACGCCCATTCTCCTCACTCCTTCTTCCTGAGCTCTACCCAGACGGCGTCTGTAGCCACGCTCTCGCGTCTCTGAGAGAGAATCTGGCGTTATGGACACTCCGTCGTCCGACCAGAAGGCGCAGAAGCAAGAGCAGGGTGAGGTGCCCGAAGGGCCGAAGAACGAGGTCGCCCCTGCCCCCGGCGACGCCCGTGGGGCCGGCAACCCCGATCCCAGTGCCGTGGTCCCCTCGGTCTCGAGCGGCCTTTCCCCATCGGGTGGTGGCGCCCCACAGAGCGGTACGGCAGGTTCCTCTGCTTCCGCCCTGGCTGCCGTCGGCGCCATTTCGGTCAATGGCGAGGGCCCGGAGCTGCCCTCCACGGGCTGTGTGCAGGAGAGGGAGCGTGCTGACCTCCAGGGCGGCCGCAGTCCCCACGCCAAGCTGAGATGTGTGGTGCCCGAGCTGAGATGTGTGGTGCCCGGGGCGGGGCTGGGTCTCCAGGCCTCACACGCGGGCGGCGTGGCCGCCATGGTGCAAGCCGTGAGGGGAGTTGGCCAGGCCAGCGGGCCTCCGACCCTGACCGCGAGCCCGGGGAGGGGCCGTGGGAGGAAGCAGCCCGGCCGCGAGGAGGCTGCCCAGGCTCAGAAGCCTCCAGAGCGGCGCTGTCTGTTTCCTGCGCTTCCTACAGCTCCGTGCCCCGTGCCCTTGCCGCCATCTTCTCCGGGCTCTCAGCCCAGCGGCCGCCGCCGTTCTCGGGCTTCTCCGTCGGGTCACGCATCCCAGCCAGGCCCTGCCCTCCGAAGTCAGGCCCGGGCACCAGGCCCAGCCCTCCGCAGTCAAGCGGCCAGGCCAGGCCCTGCCGTCCACGACCGCGCCACCCCGCCAGGCATTGATGATCTCAGCCGTGAATCTGAGCCAGGCTCTGCTTGCCGCCGCCGCCGCCATGCACCCGAGCCAGGCCCTGCTCGCCGCCGCCGCCGCCATGCACCTGAACGAGGCCCTGTTCGTCGCCGCCGCCGCCGTCGCCTCAGCTGCCGCGCGTCCCAGCCAGGCCCTGCCCTGCGAAGCTCCACCGCTCCGCCAGGCCCAGCCCCTTCTACCTACACCACCCCGCCACGCCCTCTCCGCAGGCAAGCAGCCGGGCCACGCCCGGCCCACGGAAGCTACACCGCTCCGCCGGGCCCTGCTCTCCGGAGCCCGGCGTCCGGGTCGGGCCCTGCTCTCCGGAGCCCGGCGTCCGGGTCGGGCCCTGCTCTCCGGAGCCCGGCGTCCGGGTCGGGCCCTGCTCTCCGGAGCCCGGCGTCCGGGTCGGGCCCTGCTCTCCGGAGCCCGGCGTCCGGGTCGGGCCCTGCTCTCCGGAGCCCGGCGTCCGGGTCGGGCCCTGCTCTCCGGAGCCCGGCGTCCGGGTCGGGCCCTGCTCTCCGGAGCCCGGCGTCCGGGTCGGGCCCTGCTCTCCGGAGCCCGGCGTCCCGGTCGGGCCCTGCTCTCCGGAGCCCGGCGTCCGGGTCGGGCCCTGCTCTCCGGAGCCCGGCGTCCGGGTCGGGCCCTGCTCTCCGGAGCCCGGCGTCCCGGTCGGGCCCTGCACTTCGCAGCCGTGCATCCGCACGAGGCCCTGCACGCCGCCGCAGCCGTCCTACCACCCCACCAGGTCCTGCTCTTCGTAACCGCACAACTAGGCCTGGCCGGGCCCTCCGCCGCCCCGCCGCGCCGCGCAGTCTTGCCTCCCACCCAGCTCCTGTTCGCTGCAACGGTGCATGCTGTCGAGGCCTTGTTCTCCACTACCGCGCTACTGGGCCAAACCTTGCCCTCCGCGCCTCCCCTCCAGGCCCTGCTCTCCGCAGCAGCCTCGCAGCCAGTCCAGGCCCTGTTCTCGGGAGCCACGCCTCCACGCTGGGCCCTGTCCTCCGGAGCCATGTTATCCAGCAAAGATCAGCAGTTCGCAGCCTCCCTCCTCCGCCAGGGCTGGCCGCCCAGAGCCCTTCTCCCCCTGGGTTCGCCTTAAGAAGGCTGGTCTCCCGGAGCGGCTCAAATTCACCTGATCCTGAGGTCCTGTGCTTTGCCTCCCAGCCTGGTCCTGCCATCCACGCGAGTTCCTCACCATCCTCTCTTGGCGCGTTCTATTCTCTCTTCCCTAGGCGATATAGTGAGGGCTTCTTCTCATCCCCTGGGTCTCCTGGCCTGAACCCCTGCCCCTCCTCTGCTGGGTGTTCTGTCCTTACCTCCTGTTCGTACTCCCGTGGGTTTTGTGGTCTGGGCTCCATCTCCACCCCTAGCCCTGATAGCATTAGGCGTGCCTTGCTGCCAGCACTTGATGCCCTGAGCCCTGTCTCTCCAGGAGAGCAGGCTGAAATAGGGAGCACACCGTCCCCACCTACACCTCCTATGCTGTGACCCTCCTCATAAGACCCAGTAAAGGAACCCGCATCCACCCACTGTCCTAAATGGGCTGCCTGCCCCGCAGTTACCTGTGAGGTTTCCAAGTTTTGTGAGCCAGCAACCAAGGTCCTGAGTTTTGAAACTTCCTCTCCCCAAGGCTCCACCACCCAACACTTAACCTGCTGTTGGCCCTTGATTCCAGGGCCCCTTCTCCCTCAAAAGGGCTGGCCTGCCTTTGCCCCTGAGTTGAGATTCCCCTTTTCCAGGGTTGCCACTTATACAATGAATTTTTGATGAATAAAATTAAAATGTTGACTTCATTGTGTTTTATTTTCTAATGTACTGTGGGTTTTGATCGAGGTACAAAGGTTTTTAATTTTGTGTTACAGTTGAAGAATTAGAAAAATGTAATCAGTATAGTAGCTTTTCTTTTGAATGATAAGTGGAGTAAAATATTCTGTGAGTCATTTTGCCAAACTCTGAAGTGGGGGTCTGTCCAAGACGTTTTCACTAGGTAATGTATATGCTTATAGCATAAGTATTAGTACTGGGGTAAGACTAGGGAGCACCTTGATGGGGATTAAGAAGTGTAGTTGTTGTGATGAACTGTGGGTGTTGTATGTAACTGTTGAATCACTAAATTGTCCACCTGAAACTAGTATTACACGGTATGTTAACTAACTGTAATTTGAATGAAAACTTAAAAAAAAAAAAAAAAGAATGGGCAATTTAACCCAAGTTGGCTAGAGAAATGGACAGGTGGTGGCGATATTCTGGGTCAGGAAAGAGGCAGTGCATGGTCAGGTATGTAGGAGGAGGATAGAAGGCACTGCTGAAATCAAGAGTCATGAACAGGAAGGGGGAGCAGTTCTTCCTTTCTAGAGGAAGAAATTCATTGTGTGTTGGGAACTGGGGCTCCTGAAGGTGGGTCGGGGAGGGGGTGGACTTAGTTGGTGATTTAATGTTAATGACTGATATGGGAATAGTAGAATGTTGGGTGAACATTGTGTTAATGATAATTCTATTATAAAAAATAATTGTTACCTAGTTTGTGAGCAGGTATTTGAACGTGTGTGTGTGTGTAGACATACTTGAAGAGAACTAGATGGACATACACCACACTATGAACTGGATGTATATCTGATTCTCTGAGTAACCGATGATGTGGTCTTCTATATTCTGTTTTCCACCTTGACCCTATGACTACTGTGATGGGACTCAACTGCTTTCAAAATGTTAAGTTTTGGAAGCATGGTAGGATATCACATTAAAATGAATGGAGTGTAAAATACATATAAACCAAAATAAAAGGAACCCTCTCTCCCTCCTTTCCCGTATTTCCCACAAGGTCTGTCCCAGAAGGTAAGTTTTGGTGTCATTTTTTTGTACACATTTGACTTTGTAGGGGATCCTATATAGTCTCATGTCTTTAAATATCACCTTAAGCTTGTGAATCCCAAATTTGTGTATCTGTTACCATCTTTGTATACCAGCCACATATATCCAACTGTCTGTTGACTTCACTTGAGGTGTCTTAACAGGCATCTCAAACTTCAGTCATGAGAGCTGTTCATTAGAAATACAATGCTAGTCACACATGTAATTTACAGTTTATTTAGAAAGTCATGGAAATAAGGCTAGTGTTAACACTTGACTCAAATGACAAAACTAAATTTAGTAATGAGTTTGATGTCCTTTATTCAAGGGAAAACAATCCATAGGTTGGGTGAGTACAGTACCTCACAAGCAATAGAACACTCATCCTGAGGGTTTTTGAGCTAAAGCAGGTTTTATAGTGTTAGAACAGGCAATATGAAAGCAGAGCATGATTGGCTAGGAGGTAAGGGATTTCCTCATAAGATTAGTAGGTCCAGGGCACCTGGGTGGCTTAGTCAGTTAAGCATCCGACTTTGTTTTAAATATTTGACAGAGATAGAGGGGGAGAGAGCGGGAATGGGAGGGGGAGAAGCAGGGTCCCTGCTGAGCAGGGAGCACCTTGCGGGACTCGATCCTAGGACCCTGGGATCATGACCTGAGCCGAAGGCAGACGTTTAACCAACTGAGCTACCCAGGTGCCCCAAGCATCTTGCTCTTGATCTCACCTTACTCAGGTCTATCTCAGGATCCTGAGTTCAAGCCCTGTGTTGGGCTTCATAGAGCCCACTTAAAAAAAAAAAAAAAAAGGAGCGGGTCCTATTGTCTAGGATAAGGTAAGCTAGCTAGAACTGAGTTGGAGGAGTTGTGATTCCTCGACAGGTGTTTCCCATAAGCGCAGGCTTAGGTTTAGATTTGTGATACCAGGCCACTGGGGTAGCCTCTATTTTGTGGGTCCCAGTATACAAATTAAATATCAACTGCAAGTTGCCTTTATGCATTACATGGCATGCAGATAGGATAACATGTAAAAATTATGCTTAGGTGTGCTAAGTACTGTTGTATGGTTTAGACCTACTCAGTCGGTAGAACATTAGTAAGCAGGTGTTCATTTTGTGCCCATTTTACAGGTGAGGAAATTGTGTAAAAGAACACATATAAAGGAAAAACAGAGTTGTAGACTGTCACAGCTCTTTGCTTATAAACTTTTGCAAGGTATAACTGATCTGCACCTGCAAAGAGTACTACTGTTCTCTTTGTCTTTGCCAAGTGTAAAGGTGTTGGTTTCAACACATTGATCTGCTGTTTGTTATGAGGAAAGTTTTTTTTGTATTGTGTAAAAATAGTCTAACCACTCAAACTTTGTATGGAAGGTGCAAAACTGGCTCAGCAAAATTAACTCGAAGGCACATGTGAAAATGATCATAGCAAGAGGTTATAATTTATTGTGCAGGGAAGGTTAATCCTCATGGAATCAAGAGCAGCGCATTCAGAAAACAGCAAAATTACAGGTCTCTTCTTGGGAATTTCTGTGCCTTCTGTAGTATCACGGAAAGATGTAGCTTCCCCTTGTGTCCCTGTGTCTAAGTGTTCCTCCCAGAAACTGAACTGGGAAGAAGTGAGACTCATCTCAGGGTCCTGCATTACTCACAGCTGGGCTGAGCTTTTCCCTCAGGTTTCCATTATAATGAGGAATCAGGAAATATCAGAAAGATCTTCTGGAGACTTTCCCTGGAAGTTGTCTGCAGATCAACTATGCTGTATAGGGCTGGCTTCATGGCATGTGACCAGTGCAGTTCCATAGGCCCCTGCTTGGTTTAATGATGCGCTGTTGCCATCTTGACATCCTTAATGATTTGTCAACAAGGGGTATCACATTTTCATTTTTCACTGGACCTCACAAAATATGTAGCTTACCCTTCTACTGTATTTAGGAGATTTAAAAAAAAAAATTCAGGAAGCAGAGCCCTGCAAACTGTAGCTGGTAACGGAATAAAAACATGACATTGTCCTAAGAATGAGCTCAAAGTACTGCAAACTACACTGGCACCAGGGCCAGATAAACCTGGGGTTGAAAACTGGCCCCATCCCTACCTTGCTAGGTGACCTTAAGCAAGTTACAGAATCTCTTCTCTGTAAATTAGAGATAATAGTATCTACTTCACAATCACTTCCTCTGAGAGGAGACTTTTCTAATCCTGCTAATTCTTCTAGCTGTGGCTAAATGGTTTTTGTCTCTGTCCCTAGAGCCCCCGTTACTTTCTCAGTGAAATAAACTGATGTTCAGTGTTACACAGACCAATCTGAACTCATAGGAAAAAGCAAGATGCAGAACAATGTTTTATATGCTATCATATAAAAAAATATTCTCACAAAAAAAATTTTGAACCCCAAGATTAATGGAATTGTTAAATACAGATAAGCTCCTTCACACACACAATGAGATGGCATTCTTGGGTATCCTGTGTCCTCTTTGGTCACTCATCTCCAGTACATCTGTTTGCAGCTTCATGTCTCTCCTTGGCATTTTCATGATACTCCCAAAAGACTAATTCTTCATATTAATCCCTTTCATGCAATGTCTGTTTCCGTGTCTGCCTACCACACTAGACCTTGATGCTGACTTATACCAATCCAGCATCCAGAACACTTCCTAAAGTGTAAAAATTAACTCTATACCAGGAAAATACTGAAAATGAATTTTAAAATACATAGGGGAAAAAAAGGCCCCTGACCGTGGCATTATATCTCCTTCATGCAACACCAGCTATATTGTACACTAAGACATGTCTCCCACTTAACCCTGAGAACACCTCAGCCCAAACATATATGGAAATTATTTTAAGATAAATATGAAGAATTTCCCTTACAATTTTTGAAATGGCCAATTTTATTTTTAACATACTGTTCTTGAGAAAAAATCTATAAAATGTTAAAAGTCTAGCTGTTGGGGTCAGATATATCTGGTACATGATCATAATCCTAATCAAAACAATAATTCTATTTCTGGGCACTTACTATGTTCCAAACCCTGTTGGAAACATTCAACATGCACCATAGATTTTACCTTACAAAATACTAGGAGGCAGGCGTACTTACTGTGCCTAATTGACAACTGAGGAAACAGGATTCCATTAATTTTCCAGAAACAGAGTCACTGAAAAACCGGAATTGAAACCCAGGAATTCTATTCCAGAGCCAAGCCTTAATAAAATGAGATACCTGAGGTTGTGAGACTTGCTATACTAAAAATATCTACTTTCTCATTTTTAGTCTTTGGACACATGTAGAATTATTCAGTACATAATATAACAAAGGTAATAGTTTTTAAATATCTGTTCCCAGAAATATTTCCTTTAGCTCCAACATTTTTAATGGCATGTTCAATAGATTTTTATGTATCTTCCATGATTTTTCCATTTTACTCTCAGTGGAGATGAAATCCTTTGTATTCCTTTGACAGCTATTCAGTCCTAAAAGGATAAATATTGTATAGACAATATTTATCATGAGAGTGGGGAAACAGCAAAGTGGAGGTAGATTATTTTTAAAAATAAGAATATTAGGTGATGGAGATTCTGGGATGGTGGCACTGGTGTCTGTATAGTTGTTCAATCTAACCAACTATACCAGAAGAGAATAATTAAATAGCAAAACAAATGTGTGAACAGCATTTACAAAAAATTTAGATTACAAGTTAGCCCTAATATCCCAAATTCAAGTAGACAACAAAACACAAACCTTTGTACCTCGATCAAAACCCACAGTACATTAGAAAATAAAACACAATGAAGTCAACATTTTAATTTTATTCATCAAAAATTCATTGTATAAGTGGCAACCCTGGAAAAGGGGAATCTCAACTCAGGGGCAAAGGCAGGCCAGCCCTTTTGAGGGAGAAGGGGCCCTGGAATCAAGGGCCAACAGCAGGTTAAGTGTTGGGTGGTGGAGCCTTGGGGAGAGGAAGTTTCAAAACTCAGGACCTTGGTTGCTGGCTCACAAAACTTGGAAACCTCACAGGTAACTGCGGGGCAGGCAGCCCATTTAGGACAGTGGGTGGATGCGGGTTCCTTTACTGGGTCTTATGAGGAGGGTCACAGCATAGGAGGTGTAGGTGGGGACGGTGTGCTCCCTATTTCAGCCTGCTCTCCTGGAGAGACAGGGCTCAGGGCATCAAGTGCTGGCAGCAAGGCACGCCTAATGCTATCAGGGCTAGGGGTGGAGATGGAGCCCAGACCACAAAACCCACGGGAGTACGAACAGGAGGTAAGGACAGAACACCCAGCAGAGGAGGGGCAGGGGTTCAGGCCAGGAGACCCAGGGGATGAGAAGAAGCCCTCACTATATCGCCTAGGGAAGAGAGAATAGAACGCGCCAAGAGAGGATGGTGAGGAACTCGCGTGGATGGCAGGACCAGGCTGGGAGGCAAAGCACAGGACCTCAGGATCAGGTGAATTTGAGCCGCTCCGGGAGACCAGCCTTCTTAAGGCGAACCCAGGGGGAGAAGGGCTCTGGGCGGCCAGCCCTGGCGGAGGAGGGAGGCTGCGAACTGCTGATCTTTGCTGGATAACATGGCTCCGGAGGACAGGGCCCAGCGTGGAGGCGTGGCTCCCGAGAACAGGGCCTGGACTGGCTGCGAGGCTGCTGCGGAGAGCAGGGCCTGGAGGGGAGGCGCGGAGGGCAAGGTTTGGCCCAGTAGCGCGGTAGTGGAGAACAAGGCCTCGACAGCATGCACCGTTGCAGCGAACAGGAGCTGGGTGGGAGGCAAGACTGCGCGGCGCGGCGGGGCGGCGGAGGGCCCGGCCAGGCCTAGTTGTGCGGTTACGAAGAGCAGGACCTGGTGGGGTGGTAGGACGGCTGCGGCGGCGTGCAGGGCCTCGTGCGGATGCACGGCTGCGAAGTGCAGGGCCCGACCGGGACGCCGGGCTCCGGAGAGCAGGGCCCGACCCGGACGCCGGGCTCCGGAGAGCAGGGCCCGACCCGGACGCCGGGCTCCGGAGAGCAGGGCCCGACCCGGACGCCGGGCTCCGGAGAGCAGGGCCCGACCCGGACGCCGGGCTCCGGAGAGCAGGGCCCGACCCGGACGCCGGGCTCCGGAGAGCAGGGCCCGGCGGAGCGGTGTAGCTTCCGTGGGCCGGGCGTGGCCCGGCTGCTTGCCTGCGGAGAGGGCGTGGCGGGGTGGTGTAGGTAGAAGGGGCTGGGCCTGGCGGAGCGGTGGAGCTTCGCAGGGCAGGGCCTGGCTGGGACGCGCGGCAGCTGAGGCGACGGCGGCGGCGGCGACGAACAGGGCCTCGTTCAGGTGCATGGCGGCGGCGGCGGCGAGCAGGGCCTGGCTCGGGTGCATGGCGGCGGCGGCGGCAAGCAGAGCCTGGCTCAGATTCACGGCTGAGATCATCAATGCCTGGCGGGGTGGCGCGGTCGTGGACGGCAGGGCCTGGCCTGGCCGCTTGACTGCGGAGGGCTGGGCCTGGTGCCCGGGCCTGACTTCGGAGGGCAGGGCCTGGCTGGGATGCGTGACCCGACGGAGAAGCCCGAGAACGGCGGCGGCCGCTGGGCTGAGAGCCCGGAGAAGATGGCGGCAAGGGCACGGGGCACGGAGCTGTAGGAAGCGCAGGAAACAGACAGCGCCGCTCTGGAGGCTTCTGAGCCTGGGCAGCCTCCTCGCGGCCGGGCTGCTTCCTCCCACGGCCCCTCCCCGGGCTCGCGGTCAGGGTCGGAGGCCCGCTGGCCTGGCCAACTCCCCTCACGGCTTGCACCATGGCGGCCACGCCGCCCGCGTGTGAGGCCTGGAGACCCAGCCCCGCCCCGGGCACCACACATCTCAGCTCGGGCACCACACATCTCAGCTTGGCGTGGGGACTGCGGCCGCCCTGGAGGTCAGCACGCTCCCTCTCCTGCACACAGCCCGTGGAGGGCAGCTCCGGGCCCTCGCCATTGACCGAAATGGCGCCGACGGCAGCCAGGGCGGAAGCAGAGGAACCTGCCGTACCGCTCTGTGGGGCGCCACCACCCGATGGGGAAAGGCCGCTCGAGACCGAGGGGACCACGGCACTGGGATCGGGGTTGCCGGCCCCACGGGCGTCGCCGGGGGCAGGGGCGACCTCGTTCTTCGGCCCTTCGGGCACCTCACCCTGCTCTTGCTTCTGCGCCTTCTGGTCGGACGACGGAGTGTCCATAACGCCAGATTCTCTCTCAGAGACGCGAGAGCGTGGCTACAGACGCCGTCTGGGTAGAGCTCAGGAAGAAGGAGTGAGGAGAATGGGCGTGTCCTGGTCGGATCTTCACCTCTGATTGGTCGGGTGGTTGTCACGTGACTCTCGTCTTAAAGGGAGCGAGCCAACCTGGCTCCGTCTGGCGCCAAACCAAACCGTGTGCTTCGCCATTCTAGGGGCCGCTGCTGCCCGGGCCACGATGTGAATTTCCGATCCATACTTGGACCCCCTAAGAGAGAGAGAGAGAGAGAGAGAGAGAGAGTGTGTGTGTGTGTGTGTGTGTGTGTGTGTGTGTGTGTGTGTTTCGAGGGCGTGGGCAGCGATGGTGTCTGTATAAACAGTTTGAGTCACCCCAAATCAGTTTAGTTTGTCAGCACCACTCTGTTGGTGAAACTTTCAAGCAGTGGCTTGAAAGAAATACCACACTGACCAAGAGGAGATACCGCTGAGCTGGGCATCCCTCCTGGAATCCCGTCAGGACGCAGGGCCCACGTGTGACTCCAGAAGAGACTGTCCCAGAACTCCTCTAGTGGGCTGTAGGGTTGGAGAACGGCGTGAAGGCAACAAAAGGGATGGGGCCCACACTGCCTGGGCTCGGGATGTTCAGCACTGCTGCCACGCACCCAGAGGCGGATTTAGAATTTTCCAGTAGGATGCTTCTCCTTGCCTTGCCCCCTGAACACAGAGTGGGGTTGCCTGGGATTAAGGATGATACTGTCCTTAAATATGCATCAACATTTGTATGGGCTGCATAGTAATCCACTGATGAATGTACATTCATTTGTGTGACCTACTCTCTAGTTTCTGTTAATACAAATATGCTGTGATGCACAGGCTTGAAGTCTAATATTTAGACCAGATTTTTAGTCATTATTACAGAAGGGCTGCCATTTCAGTACCCAAAACAGACAGCCAGCACCTAAATTCTGACACACCTGTAAGGCAAGTTACACATAGTTTATTTTATGAAATGGGATCACTTATCCATAGATATTGTTTGGTCACCTGCTTTTTTGGGTCCAGAAAACTCTCTCTCCATGTCAAGAAGTAAATTTCCACAAGGCCATTTTTAAGTACAAAATATTCCATTTATACCAGAAGCTTACATCTTCAAACATTCCAATATCAACCAACTTTTCACCCTCTATAACACATCACTGCGAAGCACATGCTTCTTACTAAAAATCGTTCATATCCTCAATTGTGTCCTTGCTATGGATAGACTCCCAGATGAAGAAATTCTTGGCACAGGCCATGCACATTTGTAACTCTTTGATTAAAATATTAGCAAGATGTTCTCCTGAAAGTCACCGTTATGACAATTTCAGCTGAATGGAATGGGAGGCTTACTGGACCGGAGGAGCAACTGGAGCGAAACACAACGCGGAGTAGAATGGAATGGCATCTGGAGTGTTAAATAATATGGAAGGGAAAATGGATTTGAAATGGAATGCAGAATGGGATGAAGTGGAGACTAACTGCAGTGGGAATTGGAATGAAATGGGGGATGGAATACAGACTTAAACAGGATATGGAATGGAAAATTGAACAGGATGGAAATTGAATAGAATATAATGGGAAAATGGAATGGAAAGGAGGATGGAAATAAATATCTGATGGCGTGTGGAATAAAAAAAATATATAAGTAACGTTACATGAGAAGAAGAATGGAGTGGAATATACAGTGAAGTAAAATATTAAAGAAAATGGGAGGAAACCGATGGAATAGAATTTGCAAGGTCATGAAATCAATGGACTATGAAATTTGCACTTTAGATTTAAAAGTACCAGGATGGAATAGCAACAAATGGAATGAAACTTGGAATGAAATACAGAATACAAAGTTATGAAGGGTGGAATAGACAATGAATATAAATAAAATGGAATGAAATATGGAAAGTGAAATACTGATGAAATAGAGGATGTGCTTAAATGAAGAGAATGTGTTCTCATCTACTGCTCCATAACTTAGTGTCATGGAACAATGACCATTTGATCATGCTCAGGCATCCTGTAGAGCTAGAATTCAGACAGGGCAGACGGCAGATGGCTCATCTCTGCTCTACGATGTCGTCTGAGGCCTCAGCTGGGAAAACGTGAATGTCTGTGAGATCATGAGTGAGGGACGGCAATCAGGACTCTTAGATTTTGGCCATAGTATCTGGGTGGATGGTGGTGCCACTTCCTGGAATTGGGAAGACTTACAGACTGGGGACACAGTGGGAATCCAGTGATTCTCAATTCCCGAAAAAAAAAAAAAATCTGCAAGAGTAGGGTTTTTTGTTTGTTTATTATTTGTCAGAGAGAGAGGGAGAGAGAGCACAAGCAGGGGGAGTGGCCAACAGAGGGAGAAGCAGACTCCCTGCTGAGCAAGGAGCCTGATGCAAGACTCAATCCCAGGACCCGGGGATCACGACCTGAGCCGAAGGCAGACGCTTAACTGACTGAGCCACCCAGGCGTCCCTGGGAGAGTAAGTTTTGTTTGCCTCATACTTTATATTCTAAATGTTCTCAACGAGCATAGATTACTCTTGCATTCAGAAAAATACAGATATTTGCATTATGGAAAGCAACTAATTTTTCGTGTTTAATTATGATTTAAGCTGTTGTAAGAAACCAGGCTCTCTCATATGTTACCGGGTTGGGGTTCTACATTCAGAGCACCCTGCCAGATGGAAATTTGACAAGACATATATAAACATGAAATCTATTTGATGTTACAATTCCTCTTCTAGGCATTGATTCTGAAGAAATATACATATATATATTTTTTTTAATGTTTTATTTATTCATGAGAGTCAGAGAGAGAGAAAGAGAGAGAGAGGCAGTGGCAGAGGGAGAAGCAGGCTCCCCACAGAGCAGGGAGCTCAATGCGGGACTCGATCCCAGGACCCTGGGATCGTGACCTGAGCCAAAGGCAGAGGCTTAACCATCTGAGCCACCCAGGCGCCCCAGAAATATACATATATTAAACCACAGTGTTATTTGATCGGAAGTGATTATTTTGGTGTCATTTGTTTAAAAAAAAAAATTGAAACCACCGAAATTTCTGGCAGGATACTGGATGGTCCACAGAATAAACTTATGTAGAGTTTATGGGATGTTTCTGAAGAACTTTTAATGCTATTGGAAAATGGCTATGTTACACAAATAAAAATTATATACTGAATATATGTATACTATCTATACATATACCTAGAATTCGATGTATATATTAAAATCTCATTTACTATCTATCTGTACATATACCTAGAATTCGGTGTACATTAAAATCTCATTTACTAATCTATCTACCTATCTATCTATCTATACATATACCTAGAATTCGGTGTATATTAAAATCTCATTTACTATCTATCTATCTATCTATCTATCTATCTATCTATCTATCTATCTATCTATACATATACCTAGAATTCGATGTATATTAAAATCTCATTTACTATCTATCTATCTATACATATACCTAGAATTCGGTGTATATTAAAATCTCATTTATTATGGAGTAATGGTGCTCATCCAGCAGCATGGTGCCTGCTCCAGGGGGCACTTGACAATGTTGGGAGACATTTTTGTTTGTGACAACTTGGGGAAAGGGGAGATGCTACTGCCATCCAGTGGATCAAAACTAGGGATGCTGCTTAAAAAATCCCTGAATGCACAAGCTAGCCTCTTACAACAATTATCTGGTCCAAATGTCAGTAGTGTCCAGGTTGACAAACCCTGTGGTGGGGTATTTAGATAATTTGGAAAAGTTTAAAACAAAATTTAAATCACAGTCAATCCTGTCAGTGATCAGTAAATATTGTTCAAAGTTTGGTATGTGTAGGTGTTAAATTTTCTGTGATAACTTTGTATTTTATAATCACCAGAAGGGTATGTATGAAGTAGACTACTTCATCTTAATTGTTCCTTCACAATACACAAAACGGTTTTCAAATATTAACCATATTAATCTTTGCTTAAGAAATGATGTACCTTAAGAACTGTAATTTCAGCTCATTTATGGGGAGGAACATTCCACCAGTATCAATCCATCATCATCAATCTCCTGATTTTTACCTTTCTGATCAAAGGTTTCATTTCCAAGTATTTACATGTTTGGTTAAAATAAAGAGAAACCGTGGCCCACAATGCAACGTATCTGATTATACCGGACAGTGTGGTTGACTAACCAGGTCATAGTAATCTCATTACCCTTCCAGTGACTGGTTTAGGAATGGGCATTCTCCCGTCGATACTCCCCCATATCAATGAGATGCACGTCTGCTTGGAGTCTTTGGGATAAGTTTTCTCAGCGCTTAAAGAAATAAAAGAGACACAACAGATGGTTTACATTAAAAATCTCAAAAAGTATATGTATCTGATATTATAATTAATAAATGATTTAGCATGGTTGCTGGATACATGGTCAATTTTACAAAATACAATTGGATTTCTATATACTGGCATTAGAATTATAAGGAGAAAAAAATTTTAAATGCCATCTATTACAGCATCAGAAGAGAACAAACACCTAGGAACAAATCTAACAAAGGAGTCCCAAGACCTCTGCCCACAGATAGCACTTCCGAGAGAAATTAAAGACAGCCTACATAAATCAGACATATGTCATGTTTATGTATTGGAAGACAACAGTATGAAAGTGAATGGAAGAGAGAATTCTTGTGAAACTGATCTATGGATTCAATGCATTCCCAATCAAATTCCCAGCAGTTTGTTTTTTTTTTTCTTTTGAAAACGGGAATTGTCAAGCTGCTTCTAAATTATATACGGGTAACAAAGATCCAAGAACAGCCAAAGCCATCTAAAACAAAAACCAAGACTTTTCAGGACTTTCACAGCCAGATAGCAAGACCAGCTCTGACGCCATAATTAAGATAGTGTGGTATGAGCACAAGAAAAGACAAACGGCCAAAAGACACAAAGAGAAGGGTCCACGAATAGACTCGCACAAGCACAGTCACCACATTTACAACAATTGTGCCACTTAGAGTGCTCTGGGGAAAGGATGGTCTTTTAAATAAGTGAAGCTAGACTAACTGGATATCCATCCACTTGGGGAAAAAAATAACTTTGGCCCCTAACTTATGCCGTACACAAAAATTAATTCCAGAAGTTAAAGCTTATTGAAAATAACGTTATGAACAAATATTTATGACCTTGGGATTGGCAAAGAGAGTGGGAACAGCGCACAGAAAGCACTAATGAGAAAGGGAAACAACATTGGTAATTTGGACTTCATCTAAATAAGGACTCCCGTTCATCAAAAGACACATTTAGAGAGTGAAAAGATAAACCTTGGAATGGGGGAAAGGTTTTGCAACATGTATATTTCATGGACATCTCACGTACAGGATATAATACCTCCTAAAATCAAGAAGGAAAAAAAAAGACAATGCAATGAAAAACTGGCACAATATTTGAACAGGACCTTCACAAAACAGGACATCCAACTAACTAACCGATGAGCAAACAAAAAGCTACTCAACCCCAGTCACCAGGGATATGTACATTAAAATCCCAGTGAGCTGGGGCGCCTGGGTGGCACAGTCTGTTAAGCCTCGGACTCTTGGTTTTGGCTCAGGTCGAGATCTCAGGGTTGTGAGATCGAGCCCCAAGCACTGGGCTCCGTGCTCAGCACAGGGTCTGCTTAAGACTCTCTCTCTCTCCCCTCCCTCTCCCTCTGCCCCTCCCCCCTCTTCGCACGTGCTCTCTAAATAAGTAAATAAATAATAAATAAATAGATGAACAATCTTAAAAAAAAATAATAAAATCCCTGACGAAACATCTATCGGAATAGCCAAGACAACTAACAATATCAAGATTAGGTGAGGATATGGAGGAACTCTCTAATGCTGGTGCAAGTGTAAGTTGGTACCACCTCTTTGGAAAACTGGCACTATCTATCAAAGCTGAACATGTACATCCTCTATAACCCAGGAATGCCATCTGTGTTAATGATCTATTCCTGCATAACAAAGTACCATAAATTCAACTACTTAAAAACAATGTCTGTTTATTAGCTCACAGTTCTGTAGGTCAGAAGTCCATGTGTGACATGCCTTTGTTCTCTGCTCAGTGTATCACAGGGTGAAATCAAGTGTTGGGCAGACTGTGTTTCTTTGTGGAGGCTCTGAGGAGAAGTCCACTGCCAAGCTCATTTGGGTTATTGGCAGAATTCAGTCCTACTCTCAGCTCCTACAGGCTGCCCGCAGTTCCCTGCCACATGGACCCCTCCAGACACCCTCTCATGCTTGAGTCTCTCAGGAGGGGCCCCCCCTTTTAAGGGCTCACCTGATTAAGGCTGGCCCACCCAGGATGACCTCCTTATTTGAAGGTCTACTAACTTGGGACCTTAATACAGCTGCAAAATCTCTTTTCCCACGTAATGTAACATAATCATCACAGGAGTGATATCTGACCATATTCATGGGCTCCTCTTACACTGAACCGGAGGGGACCGTACAAGGTTGAGGGTCACTTGGAGTCCTCCTAGAGTTTTGCCTACCGCAGTATGCCCTCTGGCCCCCAGTGATCCAGCGATCCAGTCTGTCCCACATACAAAGTTCATTCACTCCATCCCACAGTCTCCCAAATTTCTCATGGTATTATGGCAACAGCTCAAGTCCAAGAGCTCATCAAAACTGCACAGCTCAAAGTCCAGAATCTCATCATCCTAGTCATCCAAATCAGGCATGGGTGAGGTTTCCTGGGTATAATCCATGCAGTACAACTCCTGGGGCACAATCCCTCTCCAGCTGAGGACTGGTGACACTAAAGTGACAGACAAGCTATCTTCCCCAACACACAACACACAATGGGCATGAGATAACAGCTAGAACACTCCGGTTTGAAAAGAGGGGCGGGGACAGGAAGGCAGAAAGGAGTTAGAGTCCCAAAGCAGTTTGGAAATCCAGCTGGGAGAACAACAGCCAGAATTCTTTGATAAAGTTTCAAAGCCTAGAATAATCCTTGGTTTTTAAATTCCAGATCGGCACTAACACTCTGCTCAAGGCAATCTAGGTTTTTCTATTATGCTATCCAAATTCCGCTACCTCCAACCTCTCCCTTAGCCATATAGCCAAGTTTGTCATTTATATTTTCTTCTTTCCACATAACCGCAGGCAACAATCTTGTTAAACTTTCTGCCACTACGTAGCAGGCATCCCCCTTCTTCCAGTTTCCATAACGTGTCCCTTGCTTCCTTCTGAGCCCTCACCAGCGATGTCCTTAAAGTTCAGATTTCTACTAACAGTCTGCCCGAGGCAATCAGGGCTTTTCCTAAGGCCACTTAGGCTTTCTCTAGCGTGCACCTCAAATTTCCTCCAGCCCTCGCCCACTACCCAGTGCCAAAGCCAGGCCTACATCTTTAGCTGTTTGCAGTGGCGGCACCCCACATTCAGGTACCAAAATCTGTATTAGCTTCCTATTGGTGTGGAATAAATGACCACGCTCCTGACAGCCTAAAACAATCCCCATTTATTAGCTCACAGTTGTGCAGGTCAGAAGTCTGTGCCCAGTGTGACTGGCTTCCCTGCTCCGGATCTCACAGGGTGAGAGGGCAGTGGACTTGCTGTGCCCCTTTCTGGAGGCTTTCGGGAAGAGTCCCTTCCAAACACATCCATGTTGTTGGCCGAATTCAGTTCCAGGCTGCTGGAGGACTGAGGCCCCTTTCTCTCACTGGCTGTCAGCCAGGGACAGCACTCCTCTCCTAGAGGCTGCCTTCAGTTCCTCACCATGTGGCCCCCTGAACACGCTCTCTCGTGCCTCAAATCTCTCTTTCGGAAGGGGGCCTAGGCCCTTGCAAGTGTTCCCCTGATTAGGTCTGGCCCACCCCGAACAATCTCCCTAGCTTAAGGTCAACTGCTCTGTGGCCTTAATTACATCTGCAAAATCCTTTTTGCTATATAATTTCACATCATCATGGGAGTGCTATCTCATCATGTCCACAGGGTCCATCCACACCCAATGGGAGGAGATTGTGCAAAGACAAGGGTCACTGGGCATCATCATGGAATTCTGGCTACCACACAATCCATGTATATAATCAAACAGAAGTGCAAACATGTTCTCCAAAACACATGAATAAAAACGTTCACGGCATCATTATCGATGATAGTCAGGAACTGGAAACAATCCGAACATCTATCAACAGCTGAGTGAATACAGTGTGGTATACTCATAGTAGAGAATACCATACAGACATGAAACAGGCAAATACCCCTGCGTGCAACAACATGGGCAGGTCTCAATATCAGAACATTGAGCAAAAGGCAGCAGGCATAAAAAGGCGCATGACTGATAATTCTATTTGTAGAGAGTTTAAAAACAGCCCCAAAAACCCTTAGGGTGACATAGGTCAGAAGAGTGGTTAACTGTCAGGTGTAATCATTAGAGAAGGACACAGTTTAGGCTTCTGGGGCACCAGTAATGTCGTATATCTTGATCTCGGTGGTGGTTACACGCATGTGTTCACTTTGTGAAATGTCATCAAATTGCTGTCATTTATGACTGGTGTTCTCTCCTCTTTGTATGTTATACTTCAATAAAAAGGAAATCTACCAAAAATAGCGGGGAAAAACACATATAAAATGCAAAGTGGGGTGCCTGGGTGGCTCAGTCGTTAAGCGTCTGCCTTTGGCTCAGGTCATGATCCCGGGGTCCTGGGATTGAGCCCCGCGTCGGGCTCCCTGCTCAGCGGGAAGCCTGCTTCTCCCTCTCCCACTCCCCCTGCTTGTGTTCCCTCTCTCGCTGTGTCTCTCTCTCTCTCTGTGTGTCAAATAAATAAATAAAATCTTTTAAAAAAAAAATGCAAAGTATCTGGGCGCCCGGGTGGCTCAGTCGGTTAAGCGTCTGTCTGCCTTGGGCTCAGGTCATGATCCCAGGGTCCTGGGATCCAGTCCCACATCGGGCTCCCTGCTCCATGGGGAGCCTGCTTCTCCCTCTCCCACTCCCCCTGCTTGTGTTCCTTCTCTCTCTCTGGCAAGTAAATAAATAAAATCCTTTTTTTAAAGAATGCAAAAAGAACTGACAGAAACACACTTCAGAATCAAAATCCCTTACTGTAAGTCTGAAATCTCAAAGGCTATGAAAACCAGCGTTATTTTTCCTGTCTCATATGCACGTAAAACATGACCCGAACTGACAGGAGGCTGTTTTTAGTCTTTATTTATCCTTCTCAGCATGAATATTTGTGTTTCTCTGTGGAAATGTTGTTCTATTAGATTCAGCAGTGCTATTCCAGACCATGCTTATGGCTCTTATGGAAAGTATGGTATATGAATTCTGCAACATCTG